TTATAATTTTTATCTGGCTGGTGCAACTTCTCTATTATTCCTTTCTGCTGGGAACGGCATTTATAATAAAATCTAATTTGACACGGTTGCCTATTTCAATATAAAGCAGGCTTTGGAGTAATATTTTTTCCTTTGGTGAGTTTTTATTGATACTTTTTATATAACCATCTTATTTTTGTTCATTTTTGGTTCATAAATAATATTACCCATTGGCAAAACGGGTTTTGGTTCGGATTTGATGGCGTCCACGCACTTTTTAACTGTGTTCAAGAGTAATAGTAAACGGTGCGCATGCGTCGTCATTGCATGCGTTGCTATGGCGACTTTTGCTGTTGCCTCACTAGCAGTCATTTTTAATGTATTTACATAATAATAATTTAGAGTATTTTTGCATTATTTTTATTATTAACGTATAATTACTGGCTTGACTGGGATTTTATTGTAAATATGAATGCTGAAAAGGGAAAGGTATTTTGTGTACAGGAGATATGAAAATCAATCCGACGACAAACATCAAATTGAGACCCATGATTTGAAATGTTGTGGCGTTTAACGGAGTCTATCCAGAAAGATGAAACATTTAACTGATAGGTAACCAGTGATCACAACTTTTCTGTTGATTTAGTTTTTGTTTTTTTTCTTTCTTTTTTAAAAAAAAATATCGGCAAAGATTTTTTTTTTATTTCTTTAAAACATTAATTAGCTATTGAAAAGCATTTTTAAATTTCGAAAAATTATGTTTCAATTTGGTTCATAAAACTAACAAGAAATTTTGAGAGTGAAGGAAATGCCTCCCCCCCCCTCTAAGAAAATTTTACAATTTTAATGTTTTAAATACTGTAAAGGGTAAGGATTTTTTAGTTTATGCAAATTATGTAGAAAGATTTTTTTTATTTTTTTGCATTCAACCTCATTTTATATTTTCTATATTTTGAGTATTTTTTACAAATGGAGCTTAGGATCATGAATAACGCTTTTGTTTCTTTAAAGTGATATTCTCAGAATAACTCTCACGTGAATGCATGCATTCCTGATCAAGTCTTGCATTGCATTCCTGGTTCTTTTGTGCTATTTCAATTTATTTTTCGATTTTAATTTAGTTATAATTCTCTAATTTTTGTTGTAAACCTATTTAAAGACAAATTTAAGCTTTCAAAAATTTAACTTCGACTTGGATTTTTTCCTGTCACGCCTCCAAACTGATTTTCTAACCACTTTTTTTATTTCAGAATGTGAATGGGTAACACAATAACGGTTTTATTCGTTGAAGCAAACAAAAAAATTTTTCACCCCCTCACCCTGTTTCCATCTTCGTCATCGCTTACCCTTTCGTAAATTGTTTTATGAATGAAAGTACCCAATTACGCGCAACATTTTGCGAACGCTGTTATTAGTTGTTCAATAATACCCCTTCATTTGGAAAGGTGTGAGTAATTGTGAATTTCAAAATTTCATACATTATATAATTTACTAAAGTGTTATCGATATAAATACTGTATCCCACAATAAAAACGTTTCAATAATGACAGGAATTTATCGTGATTTTTTTTTCATTGAATGAAAATCCCTTTTTAAAAATTACTGCACAACTTGTTTGTCAAAAAAAATGCACATGCTTTTTCAGTCATATAGGAGAAAAAGTGGAACAAAACTGCTCAAACTTTTGTTATATATATATTATATATATTACATAAAAAATTTATTTATTATATAAAAAATATATATACATTACGTGTAAAAAAATTTTTTATTATATAAAAAAATATATATCTTATATAAAAAAATGAAATTTTTATAAAATTGGTTTTTGCTTATATCATTCAAAAATAAAAAATACACTGAAATATTTCACAATAATCCATATTGACTCGACCACAAAGAATGGTTATGTAGAAATGGTTAAAGGTTTTCCTCAGTTAGCATTGACGTGCGTTGAAGAACTTTACTTTTTTAATACTTTTGAAACTCAGTGAAAACAAATTAACTCGTTTCTTAAGCATTTCTATGTCTTTTGGTTTTTCTGTAATTACTTTTCAACTGCCGATCTTTTGGATACTATAATAAAGAATAATGTAGAACATGCCGGTCGAAACTTTTCATTTATTTTCAGGAATTGTGAAGAATGTCAAAAATAAATAATTTTTTCATTGGATTGAATAAACAAACAGTACGATATCATCAATAGTTTATTCAAAAATTAATGAGAAAAATGTACATAAATAGGCATATTTTTTAAAAATGGAAACATATATGCAATAGACTGCGTTGTCCAAACATATCTCTAATGGTACACATGTTTTCGTTGATGATGACACAATAAAAATTTATTGATTTCGGAAGATGAGAAAGAGTAAAAAAAATTTCGATACAATTAACTACATTGTCTGTTCATTTTAAAATCTATCTATATAAATCTTTTTTATATTTTATTTTATTCCTTGGGATTCAAGTTTTTTAAAGACTAATGCCCTTGTGAAAAAAATATTTTCTGTCATTCTAGTTTTCATAAAGTTCGCAGAACAATTTATTTATAAACATTATTTTATCTTATGTATTAAACAGTTTATTACATTGTCGTGTTGAGGTGTAACACTTTTGATAAACTTACAAAAAAATCTTTCTTTTCTATGCTGTTACTAAGAGTATATAAACTTTAAAATGGTTCCACATGTTCCGTACTGCTTGAAAATGCGATATCTTAAGAACATTTTCGAAAATTTGACTAAGCAGACAAGTAGGATTTTTTTAATGCTCCTTTACAAGTAATTGTTTTTTTTTACTAATAAATATTTTTTTGTTAATTAAAGTAGGCTATTAATTATCTGTGAATTATCCTAAATGATATTTTTTTTAAATATTTATAGTATAGTTAAAAACAGTTTTGTTTTGCAAAAATGTTCTTTTTGTGTTGAGATTGAAAGCTTTGAGGAAAAGCTACCCTATCAAGTAAAAGAGTGGCCGAAATAAATATTAAAAAATAATTAAAAAAGGTTTTAATTATATGCTACAGTCTGAATATTATGAATGAATTGAAATCCAAATGAGACTTTCCAAGACAAAATGTTTAATGATTTTTCTACGATGAACCATAAATAAGATGGTTGCCATCCTAAGTGTCTTTCAAAAGCTCTCTTATTTCTTAATGGTACCATCAAGACTAACCATCATCCCAATAACGGATGTGAAATATATTTATGTTAAACCCACATAAACAAAACTAACAGGGTTTGATGGTTATTTATAATGACCCAACAAAAACAATCCATCGTCCAACTCCAACTCGGCATTCCTTCAAAAGTCTCTTCCATCCAATGGTCAACAGAAGTCGAGATTTCTTGCTGATCAAACACATTTCTATGGTTTAATTTTTTTTAATTAAACTGTAGTAAGTACTAAAAAAAACCATAATAATCTTCAGACAGAGAAACTCCACAAATATGCATTTGAGAAAAGCAAGTTTTATAAAGCATCAACTCATCGCATTTTATGAAATGTCGTAGATTTAGGAAATTTGCAGAATAGAAGGTGAAAATAATTGATTTATACATTTGAGAAGTTTTACAAATGAATTTGAAATAGTTTTTATGGATGCCTTGATGAGAATCCTAAATGTAGCTTTTAATAACCAATTTTTTAATCAAATGATAATTCGTCTGTTCAGATAATTTGCAAAGTTTAGTAACAATGGGAGGGGAACTAACACCTAGCTGTAGAAACTGGTGTAACTTTTTACAATTAAATGTAGCTACGCAAGCGTTAATACTTTTTTTAATTTTACTCTTTTAGCTAATAAACAGGCTTATTATCTTTAAAACCATTTTTTTACCAAAATAGTGTTATTGCAAAGTATTAATTTAGAAAGAACTACTTTTAAAAAAGTGAGAAAAATGTAATGATGGATTTTTTAAGCATCAATTATGTTACAAGTATCAAGCAAGTTACAAGTATCAAACTATCATAGGATAATTTACTAGTTGATATTTGATAATTTTAAATTATGATCAAATAATAGATAATATTGATTATTTAACATGTAAAAAGAGTTAATAAAAATCATTAAGGAACATAGTTTAATCCACTGACGGTTCTGCACGTAAAAAGTCGTTAAGACATTTTAGGAAAGAATATATATATATATATATATATATATAAATATACAGTGCGTAGACCTTATCTCATTAAAAGGGAAAACAAGAAAGTATACACATTAGGGTTCACAAATTAATATTTAAGCGAGGAAAAGGCAAAAACACTATCGGAATCTGACACTGCAATGTAATGATAGTAATGTGAATGTAATTATGTCGAATGTCAGGAATGTCAATGCAATAATGGCGAAAATCAGGTTTAATAATGGGAGGAAACGGAGAGAACTTGACAATTTTTATAAACACCATCAAATTTCAGCCTCCTGCTTTGCTGCTTATTGCATTCACCTTTCTTTACAGTAATTTATGAATTGCATTTTTATTTTTTCTTTGTTTAAATACTAATTTGCTGCCCCAAATGAGTATGCTTTTTTTCACTTTATTTTTGATGAGGAAGCAAAAAATACTTATTAAGGCCGGTCTTTACAAAACACCCTTCAGAAACGTGTTATTTAGTCGGCAGTTGTATACAGAAAATAAAAGTTGGTGCTGAGTGTCTTTAAACCAGATAATTTATAAAAAAAATAATCAAAACTGTAACGGTTACAGTTAGTAAAATAGAAGACGATATCAATAAACTTTTCACTTATTCGTAAAAATGTCCCGCAGTGGACTGATCGTTAAGACACGGTTCCCAGCAGATCACCGAAGTCAAGCATCACTGGCTGCGGTCAGTGTGCGGGTGGGTGACCACTTGGATCAGTCTGCGTAGGGACCGAGGGTGTGCGGTATTGGTCCTCGTTAAACTGTGCTACCGTAAAGTGCTCGACTTCGCGCGCAGGTCGTCGGGCTACCGAAGCGGGGGTGCCATCCCCTCCGCAGAGGATCAAAATTGTGATGGCATGTCTTCGGATCATCCTCAGGGATGTTTCCCAGACCGTCGCCAATAGCCCATTGTGCAGCTCAAGTGCGACGTAAATGAACTACAACAACAACAACAATATTCGTAAAAATGTTTACTCTAAATGTTGCAGTAAATTTAAATTATAGCACAAAAATTTTTTCAAATGCCCTCATTTTACCATAATTACATATCAATATCTAAGAATGAACCAATGAATTATGTTAAATTTTGGGTGATTAACCTTTCTAGATATCTCGGCTCTCCTTAGGCCCAGTTTTTTCGTGCTGATGAGTCCGAGGTTTACTCGCTGCAACGATGATTACCCATGATATTTACTCCTGGGGTCACTTAAACTAATTTCATATAGGTATTGTGATAGCAATTGGGGATCACCAAAAATCAAAAGTAGTCCTACAATCAGTCCATTGTGGAACAATTAAAACAAAAGACTTTTTAAATAGCTTTGATCATTAAAACGTTTGTTTATAATTTTGAAAAGAATCAATATCTCGGCAAAATCTTACGCGATACATTCCACTACGCGTACAAAATGAACTTACTATATAGAAGACCCCACTTCTTTGAGAATTTCGTCCATTTACTTTATATTTCAGATTAACCTCTGAATCCGTGTTGAATAAAATTGACATAATTTGAAATACGAGGTTTGAAAAATGAAAATAACTCAAAAGGCAAGTTTTAGAACATGGGTGTACCTTTAACATGCAGAAGTATCTCAAAATGCGTGTTGCAGAAAAATTGCACGTAACCTTAGAATGCGTATTGCAAAAAATTGCACGAAACTCAAAAGGCTTCATTGCAGAAGAATTTCACGCAATTAAAATTGCATATTGTAGAAAAACTGCACGACACTCAATATGCGCATTGTAGAAAAGGTTAAGCAAAAAAAATAAACAGGCTAGGAACGAATGTTTTTTTTTTTAAATGGGCATGACTCAACATACGCAATTAAGAAAATGTGTATCGCTACTTATAAACAATATGGACAAGACTTAAGAATTGATTCTGTTTTTTAAACTATTATGGCTATTTGCAGATTAAATAAATTAAATATTTAATAATAAATATAATAAAGTTAAAAGAAAAACTGAGCGAATTTTCATATTGATTTGTATGCGCCTTTTTCAATAAAATAAAATGAAAGTAGGTTAAAATGGAGAAGGAGCATTTTGTTCAATTTCTTTCATACGCATTTTGAACTATACTTTCTCAAATATTTCCGGCAATATCTATACTCGTAAATGCACATTGTGAGCTACATATACTTTATCAAACATGCATTTGAAACTATGTTCATCCTTTTAAATGCGCATTTTAAGTTATATGTATTATTTCATACGCGCATTTTTAATTCCTTACAAACGCATTTCGGCCTATGCTCATTTTCTTCAAATACTTACTTTAATGTATGTTTAGTTGCTTAAATACTTGCTTTTAATCTAGATTCAATTTTACTAACCCGTATTTCAAGTTTTGATGATACTCTTAACTCGCATTTTTTGATATGTCAAAAGTAAAGATCCCTTAAAGTAGCTTAATTATTCAGAAAATACAAGCAATTTAGGTGAGATTAGTTATAAATGAGGGAGATTAAGAGATAGTTTGAATTCAAATCTAAAAGTTATCATAAAACTCCCTCACATCACTGTAGTCTTCCGAAAGAAATTTTAGAAACTCCAACTATTTTTTATTACATTTTTAAAAATCAGTAACTCCTATTTTGGACACACTGTACCAAATATATTGTGAAATAGCTTATTCAAAGAGCTGCAGAAAAGATATTCAGTGATGTCCGATTTAGTACTTATCAAAACAGCAAACAACTGTTCGGCTAACACGAGAACTCTTTCACTTGCTGTCCTTAGGTCACTTCAAAATGAGAGCTATCGATTCGTGTCGGTTGTAAGACCGTAAGAATGATGTCATTTCTCTCCCATTAGAAACAATTTAACTTATGACTCCATAACAACCTCAGACTTTTAGTCGGGAGAAGTTCTCGAGATAGCTGGACGGTAAAAAGTTTGCTGAAATAAATATGAAGTTACTAGCACTAAAAAAATTTTCTAATTCGTTAGTTGAAAGCAACTAATGGAATCAAGTTACAAAAGTTAGTATGTTTCTGAATTGTCAAAAAGTGTGTTGAACCATAATTACGTTTCATACTTGCTACATACCTTGATATGGTGCTAAGTTGAGCTCTATTATTGTACTGCTTCACACGACACTTGCATTCAGTTTGAATCTAAACGTGACTTCATTTAACACCTTATCAAAGTCATCATCAAAATCGTATCTCATTAAAGAGCATGGATATTATGGGGCAGATTTGAACCAATTTTTTGTGGAATTATTTTAAGGACAGCATTTTACCCTCGATGCAGTTTGCGAAGGAGAATATTTTATTTCAAACTTTTTTTGACAATTTGAAGTTTTAAGAAATTATATAATTTTTTTTTATTCAAACCTTTTACATTGGCGGTTCAAGTTCAGCATCTAGTATTACGCTAAACAACAGAAATTTTAAAAATGTTTGATGCTTGGAAATTGTATATTAAATATCATAATTTCAATTGGGTCGGCTGTTCAACGACGGTTATAAAAAAAAATAAAAAAAAAATTCAAAAACGCACTGTATGTACAGTTTCTGTAATTACAGTTTAAGGAAAACTGTAAGTACAGTATTTGTTATTTCAAATATGTTCTAACTAGCTTGTAAAGATGCGTATCACACGACTAAAACAGACTTCGTGAAATAGAAAGAGAAAAAAAACTTGTTATTACAGTAAATCCCCCAATTTATATGTTTTTTTGTGATTTAGGAACTAGCTAGCCTAGAACTGTTTTAACAAACTATAGTCTATTAAAATAAATAATAATATTTGTCACAAATTCTTTGAAAGACAAAATTTTCCTGTAAATTTGTAGAGTGAAAATGTTGAGCGAAATACATTGCAGAGACCATACTAACTTTTGTAACAGTCTGCTGTTGAAAAAAAAAATTCCTTTACTTTGAGAAATTGGTTCTATTTCGTATTGGTCTGTTGTTCAATTTGTTGTAGTTCATTAAAAGTAAGCATGTGTCATATGGACAACCTCTTTCTCCTGATGTCTGGAAACTCCATGCACAGGTCAGAATCGGATCTCAACGATTCCATTATATTGTCTCTCATATCTATGGGACTTATAATGTGCATGGGCAGGCCATGAGGAGATCTACTAAGAGACCTACTCCTGTAACGATAAGGCTTTTCCATTGTCTTCCTTCTGCGCATAGGACAGAAGGCGTGGCACGTACAAAGAGAGTCATCGTCTTCCGAGTCCGATTCTTCGGGGGGACCCAGTCCCGAGATGATGCTACCGTTAGCTGTTATAACGTCCCCTTCTAGACGCACAGCTTCTTGAGCTGCACACTGTGCTTCGGCTTCATCCCGCCGCTCGTCTTCTGTGTTCATGGTGAGGAATCGGAGAACGAGAAGGTTCATGCCTGCAGACACAACAGATAGACCGAAGAGTATAAAGACTAAACTGAAGGCAACATATTCCGGTTTGCTCTGGAGTGCGCTCTCCTTCTGCAGTGCCACGTAATCACCAAAACCTGAAACAGACAAGTACAGTGAGCCACTTTTTATTCTAATAACCACACATATGCCAATTCATTAGAGCTAACTATTAAGTTTTTGAATCAAACACAAAACGCACTTTCTCTAAGTTTTTTTCGATTTAATTGGAAGTTTAAACCTCAAAAAAAAGGGGGCACAATCTTAGGAAAATGAGTTTAATAGTTTAGTCACAAGAAAGTGGGTGAAAGTTTGAACGTCTTAATATTAGTTTCACTTTTTACATTTTTTTTTTATAAATCGTATTTTTAAATTTTCATTCACAAATTAAAAATTTGTAATTTTAGGTTCTTTTTGCGGATAAAAAGGCTCGTGTAGGTAATTAGTTTCCATTATTAGTTAATGATAGTTCATTTTTAATATCTTATGATATACCACAATCATACTAGAATATTATCCATTATCAGTTTCGTTCTTTAATTACAATTATAATTCAGTATCAATTTTAATTTTTTGTCTTTGATGGTCTCCTATGGATATAGTGCATAATAAATGGGGTTCTGTTACTAGTTCTGTTTCTGATAACCTATAGATTTTCTAATAAGTGAGTGGCTGATAGATTTCATTTCTAATAAGTGAATTGCACATAGATTTCGTTGCTAATAAATAAACAGTCGATAGATCCAGTTTCTAATAAGTAAACTGCCTACAGAATCGATTTCCATCTGTTCTTTGGTTTCTTATAAATGGTCATAAGTTTGCTAACCATTGTTTTATGAAATCATTCTAAAATCTACGCAATCTCACATAAAAACAAGCATGTTTTTATTATATTTTCTTAAACGCATTTAACGTTACGTCTCGTTAATAGAAATGGTAGATTGGGTTAAAAACTTACCGATTGTGGTGAGTGTAATGAAGCAGTAATAGAAAGAATCAAAATAGTCCCATCTCTCGTACTTAGAGAATGCTGCTGCACCTGTCGTCATGACAACAGTAGAGAGGATGGAGATGAGACAGATGAGGTTTGTCTCAGAGACTTCAGTGTTCCTCATGCCTATCCCCCTCTTGAAGTGTTTGAGGAGGTAGGCCACAAAGGTGTTGAGTCTCTCTCCTATACTCTGGAAGACTACCAGGCCCAATGGAATACCTGCCAAAGCGTAGAACATGCAGAAGGTTTTTCCACCATAGGTGGCCGGAGTGGAGTGACCATAGCCTGGAACATACAGAACCATTTTAGAATTTAAAAATGCATTTTTATGAGTAGTCTGTCCAAAAGGAATTCGAATAAAAGTAAAGACTCCATAACTCTTGAATATGTTATGTAAAGTGCATTTACATATTTCGAAGTAACCTCCATTTCCCGTAATGTAACGGAGCGCAAAATTTAATAAAAGTAAGTACCCTGAATCACTTTTAATCTAAGGGTCAGATTTTCACATATTAAAACATAATCTTCAAGGGTTTCATCTTAAACATGCTTATTAATTAATGCAGACTATATTCTAAACTGTAAAATCGGAAACAAAAACCTACATACACTGAATAAACGTATCTTTTTTGCTTTGACGAAGTCGAATTTTAAGCCCTCAAAAAATATTGGGTAACCACAACCAAGAAAATAGGATACCACTGGGGAGGTTAGAGGAGCAGTCCAAAGTTTGGATCTCTTAAAGTTAATTTCCTTTTTTACGTATTTTGTTATATTTCAAAAACAATAGGAAATATATTTGCATACAATTATGAATTTGTTAATACAAAGATACTTCTATACAAAAAATAATTTTTGATAATTGTTTATTATTATTTCGCTTAACAATAGTCGAACGTATTTTGACCTATATACTTGAAAGTACATACTTCATATATAAATAGTTCATTTTCAATTTTGCAGTTTTAATTGACAAAACATAAATTTGGAGCATAATCGGTGGAATAGGTGTTGATATGTCTTTTTTACTCATTTATTCCATTGAATGGGCTTCGAATTGACCTCCACTCGCCTTTAATATACTTCTGTAAAAGTTTCAGAAACATATCTTCATTCGCAAATGATTCGCATTGATATCCTTCAACCTAGTTCTAATAGTCAAGTTTTCAGAAATAAAAGATCAGCAAAAAATTTGTTCAAAGAGTGTTTACAGAACTTAAAACAAATATTACGTCGGTGAGCTTTTTATTCTGGACGAAGGACAAAATGCGTGTTTAAGAAATTTGATTCGGTTTTTTTTTAACTTCTCTTATGAATTTTTTTAACGAATTAACTATTGTATCCAAATAAATCCACAATAGGATGTCATCCATAAAGACTTTAAAAGTTTGCAAGATTGTCTTCATAATATTGATGCTGAACTCCCGTTGTACTAATTTAGATTTTTAAACTCCCTTAATCGTTTAGTGTTCTGAATATAATGTAATCAAATGAAACTGCATCATACTTAGCCACTCCAAAATCTGGGCAGCAATTTTCTAGTTTAATATTTCTAATTATTGCCCTTAATGACCCTATTTGGCCTTTTCTTACTTATTCTTATTCTTAACCTTTTTTTCAGATCAGCTAACACATTTTTAAAGAAAGGAAAACTAGCATTATAATTGGGGCCCATTACAGAAAAATCTCCAAAAAAGAGTCGATAAAGGCAGCTGAATTGTAAATGAACGTCCGTAAAGATTATACTTTGTGTTTAAAAAAGTATAAGTACAAAATCTTCTCGTTTAATTGTTAAATTTGCGTTGAACACTCAAAAAGTTCATTTTTTTACGTTTCTTAAACGCGTTTTTTGAACTAGGTTTTGAATAAAAAATTTTAAGAAACTTGCTGCTACAGGATACTCGATTGTATACAGGAAAGAGAAGTGTAGTCAGAAAACAAAGACAATCAATCAATTGGACACCTACACTCGCAATAAATATTTCGAAATGCAATTTTTAAACTTCCTTTCTAATAGGAACAAATAGGACAGCTCTTAAGTAGAGATCATTAGCTGGAAATTGCTTTAATAGCGTTCAATAAACTATTTCAAATCGAATAACTGAAATTCGACCCTTTCTCAAAAGTCAGACGCCATTAGAATTTAGTAAGAGCCGAAAAGAGGAGAAAGATCGTTTAACTGAAACAAAAATTTGATTTCTGAAAACACTGAAACACTGAAATTTCTTGATTAATTTTAAAAACTGGAGTATTTATTCTATCGAATCGATTATGATTTCATTCGATTTAGCGTTTAGTATTTATAACACTTAATACTTCACTTGCTATATAAAAATATCAAGCGCTTAAATAGGTAAAAAACTTTTAGTGTTTTACTTTAAACCTTAATAATTTCTAAACTGTTCTGTTAAAAAAATAATAAAATATCTGAATAAATGCATCACTTGTCCAGTTAGCATGTTTAGTTGTCTTCTGTTTTTGAGTTTAGTAAATTCAAAATGGAGGCTAAGGCGTAACTCGAGAGAGGGGCAAACTTCAGAAATTTATACTGGATCTAGAAACAGTTTATACTAGAACTGACTTAAAATATTCAGTCAACAAGGGGATTACTTGCGAATAATACACGAAAAGTTCTGCTAATGCCAATATCAATCTCAGCCCCCACAACAAAGAATATTATTGTATTTAACTCAATTTTTCATTTTGAATTTATATATTTAACTCAAACTAATGTTTTGCAAAGTTTGTTAAGTGTGATAGCGCTATTTTTTTTATGAAAGAAAGTGTCTTCACTGATACCTAGCATACTAAAGTCATCCAACAAAGTAATTCCGAACAATGTGACAATTTTGTATAAACTTAATATGTCCTCAAAGAAAGGGAAGTTCAGACGTAATATTTAAATATTTTTGTGAAATTGAATAAAAATATATTTCGCCAAAATGTGTGACGGCATTCAATGGCGACTATTAGCACGAAAAAAACTGGCCTCTAAGAGTATGCGAAATCATAAATACGAATATTTTTAGGATTATTTTAGAACAGAAATATCAAGCTTTAAGAGGCCTCTTTCTTCTCGACCAAACTCAAATATCTTAAATTCTAAGTATGATTTTAATCCTAATTTTTCGGCACCATCCCAATCGAATTTCTTCAGTTTGAGCAATAATAAAAACAAATTTTAAAGAATCCAAAAACAAACAAACAAAAACCATTCAACTACTTTCACAAAATAACTAATCACTTCATTTTATTGCTTTACATTCTTGAGAAAAATTTTGCAGAATTTTTAAAAGTTGTCAAGTGCTTTTTTATCTAATCTAATAAAGCAGCGCTTACATTTCATTTTTTTAAAGCATAATGCTTTTAAATGATACTTTATCATCAAAGGTTTGTTAGAAATAGAAAAAAAAACATCGTGAAACCGAAAATCAAAAATTTCACGCAAAATCCAAAATGACAAAGCAAGTTAAGAATGTTCCTCTTTTGTCATCTTATAAAGAAAAGCAAGAAATAAATTGAATCATTTTGAGGCAAATATTTCAAATGCGTAACACTTAATGAAATTAACTCGTGAAACTCATTCTTTTTCCCCTCCTTAAAAATAAAATTATAGTCGGGAATTAGTTCAGCTTTTTTCTTTTTTCTCTTCATTCAAAGTTTCATTAAATTTCGTGTTTTGCATTTTGATGTGACATAACTAAATAAGAGACGGGTCATTAAAATCTCAGAGGACAGAGAAATAATCAGCGTAACTTTAAAGGGCCGTTGTTTGTCTTCTAATCAAATAAGGAATTTTCGCATTCTAAGGAAGACACATTTCCTTGGAAAACATTAGGAACGAATACTGGTGGAGAGGAATCTCTCATTTAAAATATAAACTTGAACTCTTGTATTAAATTTTACTCGACATTAGCACACTAACGCAGAACTTGTATGTTATTGTTATTAAAATAATAAATACGACTAAGGACGAATGAAAACGCAGACTGTTACAGAAATATGTAATTATAAGAGAATCACGTAAAGAAAACAAGAAAAAACAAAAAGAATAAAAGAGAAAGCAAAAAAAATTTCTTTAAAGACGAATAAAAAAAATTCAAAAAATTAACAGTATTAATTAATTGTAAATTAAAATAAAAGCTAATTCACTATGAAAAGATATAACTTCTTTTTAAGCACTCACTATTATATCTGAAAAATTAGTGCTGTCTGTAATACTATTAATACTAGGGAGGAAAAGGTGGCAACCACATGTTTAATTTTGCCTCTAAACGTTAGTCCACCAAAGAAAAAAAAATTAGCCAGTTTTGGACCTAGAAACCACAGGTCAGAATTTGGTCTCCAATTGTTGCAGGAAATCACTAGTCCTTGTTAGTAAACTAAAAATTTTCGTTATACCATTTAACAAAAAAAGCTATCAAAAAATATTTTAGGCTATATTTAACCTAGAAACTACAAGTTCAAGTTCACCTTTTGACTCCAAAGTAGGAAAGGAAAACACTAAAGTTGCCACAAAAATCATAGTAAGAAAATAACAATAAAGTTTTTGATTTCAATTGCAAAAACATAGACAATTATCGAATTACATTTTTCTCCAATGATTGTAGAGAAACGGGGGAGAAGGGGTGAGGATGTCACTTGAGCTTAATTCTCAGACAAATTTTTTTAAGAAATATTAAACTATTAAAAAAAATGTCATTAAAAAGTTAAAATGTAGTTTTTAATGTTGTAGTAAAAGTTAAATGTAGTATATATATATATATATATATAAATTGAATAATGTTATAAACTGATAAAAATATAGTTAACGCACTAATGANAATTATTGTGTATTTCAAATTTCACTACTTAAAGAAATGTGACTGTGTTCTTCAACAAACTTATGGTATCTCCAAGGGAAATAATAATAGTACTAATGTTTTCAATATTTTCTTTTTCTCCAAGAATATAGATTCGCTAAATCATTTGATAATATTTATTTTTCGACGAATTTCTTCGTTCTCGGAAGATGATCTTTTGGCTATACATTTTGATGATTTTAAAATTTCAGCTCAGCAAATTTATCCAAGTGAATTTATTCTCATCAAAATTAATATTTTCAAGATTTTTAAAATGAATGAAGATAAGAAAATTACATATAAACTTTTTGACAAAATAAATTATTTTAACTTTTTAAAAAGAGTATAGACGTTAATTCCATCTTAGCCAAGAAGATAGCTTTCGAAAATTTTTACCACTCTAATTCTTAGGTTTTACAGGAATAATTCTAATTATAAAGAGTATTTAAGAGAGACTGATCAAATTAAAACAGATTTAATTAAAAACCATTTTCTTGATTCATTCATTCAATTTCATTTTAATAAAATTTTAAAGCATTAATTCATTTTTTCTGATTATAGGATTAGCTCTGATTCATTTTTAAGGTAGGATCTAATTATGATAAGCTATTAATAAAACCACTGGGCGGAATAGTTTCAATGTGTGACCTTTTATGCTGGATTAATTTATTTGTTAAGTAAACTTCTAAATTATAGCCTTTATAAAGTAATTTTAAATTTTAATTTTAATTGTCTAGAGTAATAAACAGCTTAATTTCCATTTATGGTTAGATTTTTTTAGTAAGTATGAATAGAGCTTTTTGGAGCAATTTTTGATTAATAACAAAATTATTATTTTAAAATT